GGTGATCACAGATAGACCTTTCTCTCTTTGTTTATTGAGATTCAGGAAAGAAAAAGTCTCTTAGTTCTATCATATCGGCAATTGCTAATAACTAATTCAACTGATTAACGCTTTTTAGGGTGTATTTTGATCTACGGTTTATTAAGCGACCATGCGTCATATTTTTTTAAATGCTATGTCTCTTCATGATTTTTCGCAGATTCCATTTTCTGTGAATTGCCAATACTCCATGATAGTGGAGTGGTTTCCCGTTGCACTCTCCTGATTTAAATTAAAGTAGCACATGTTAGACTGACTGCTATCCAAAGCTAGAGAGCGTAGACTTCCCTGCTATTTAAGCCATAGCTAGGAACAGAAAATATGGATTCATGCCTTTCCAAAGAGCATTAATGTTAAAGTCAATATAGCCGACTAGGCTCGAATTCGAACTCGGCTCGCTTATTCCCTTTTCTACGCCGATAACCGTTACGCAACTCACATATCAACTGTTACCAAACTCAAAATTTGTTTCCTCAAGAAAAATATCATGCTGCTTGATCGTATCATGCTCTTTCGGGTGATGAAACTAAAACTAGTGCAACCGTTTTGATCATCTGATGAGAATTACATAAAAATTTAAATAGAAGTCGATCGTTTAGAAAAAATAAAGCGAGCAATAACTGAGCAGTACTAAAAAGACAACAAGACTTTTGTTTTGGCCATCTAGTGTTTGATAGAGTTTGCCATACCGGTCTTCTTCACAAGTTGAAAGGCTATGGTATTTCCGGACGAATTTTTGAACTGATTCTTTCTTATCAAATCGCGAAATGAAAGTTGTCCTCAATGGACACTCTTCTAGATCTGTTTGTACTAATGCAGATGTCCCCCAGGGCTCTATTTTTAGTACTACTTTGTTCCTAATTTCTATTAATGACATTCCTGATGACATCAGTTCTCAACCTCGCATCTATTCTAATGACACAACCATTTACCTCTGTCTAATCAGTTCGATGAGATGAAATCGGTAGGTGATCTAAAAATGATCAATAATTTGTTATTAATTGGGGTTCTTACCCCCAACTGACAACAAACAATTGATAATTTTTAGACTGGATTGTTAATTTTAACGCCTCCAAAATGAAACTTATCTCTATTAATCATCTGAACAACACTTTCCTACACCCCCCGATCATCATGGCTGATGCTAACCTCCATGGCAGTAAGTCGTTGTGTCTTCTCGGTCTAATATTCTCGGTTAATATAAAGTGGAAGGACTACAAGATGAGATATCCTTAGACGAGAACAATTTAATCCCATAGATCATTTCAGTTCAAAATTCACTAAAGGTTACCCGGATCGGCAAACACCTAAAAAAGGCCGCAGAGGGCACAACACTAGAAACGTTGTGATAATAACAATAAACATAACGACATTAGTCCGAATGCAAAATAATGATAAGAAAAGCAAACAATAATATAACTCTGGTTGAAATCTGCTGATATCTTTCTCGATAGCATCATGCAATTATCTACGATACTGAAAGAATGTCTTGATTTCAAAATGACTTTACGGAATTGGTAATGATCAATACATATCATCTGCATCCGTACAGTGTAAAAAAATTACGACTACTACAAATAATAATACCTTCTCATAGATATGACAGCGACATCAGATAAAAATGCATCCGTTAAAGATTCTGAAATTGAAAAAAGTATATATATAGCAGTCTTTATTGAAGCAAAGTTTTCAATCTATCAACTGTATCGTCTTGACTACATTTTATTGTTTATTATTGTCAACTCCAGCAGTTTCAAGCCTTACTGAAAAGCGTATTTCAGGATTTATAAATAAATTCCATGTCACTTCAGGACTTAGGAAGCCATGGAAAAAATGTTTTCTCGATGCCTTCTTCCACGATTTGGGATTAAGTTTTCCTTATCTTAGACTTATTACTACCTAAAGCTAGAGATCCTGTTATTTAACCCATAGCTGGTAGGAAGAATGAATAGATTTTTCCATTTCCCAAGGGTATTAGTGCGAAAGTGAATGCAACAGACTAGGCCAACAATTGAACGTAACTCAGCGATTCCCCTTCCTGTGCCAGTATCCATTATACTACCCATACATTCACTTACAGTCTTTATAATACTTAGACTATATTGATCCGATTGCTACGTTGACTATCGGAAATGGATTGATAGACCAAAGTTTTGTTATACAACAGACATTAGGAAAGTATATATATGAGAAAAAAATCTTTATAGAAAAACGAAGACATAAAAATTGATTATGTTTATGAAAATGTAATTGAGGAAATATTTATAAGTAAAATTACCCGATAGGCTTGCCACATTGATGACTCTTCCCTTAGTTGTCCTCAGCAAAGGTAGAAAAGATTTAGTCATTCTAACCACACCAATCACATTGACATCCATTATGCGCTGAAATACATTTACGGCACACCATTCAATCTCTGCATAGGAAGCAATTCCGGCATTGTTAACGAGTGCCCACAACTCTGAAAAAAAAAAAAAAAAACAGATATGAAACAGCAATAAATGATTTTTTTTTTTCAAGTTTAAATGGATGACAAAACTTCTTCTTAGTTATATCATTATTTATCTAAAATTAAGAGAAAATATTATTTTTTTAATGGATGAACAAAGTACAAAGGAAAATTACTGAATCGGTCATTGTTGAATGCCAGAAAAAATAAAATAAGTTTGTCCAAATAATTAAAAAGCTAACATTATATTTAAAATGCAAATGCCTAAAATCTAACCAGAAGGAAAACCTGAAGTGATAAAGCAAAATACTAAACGCCAGATGGAAAAATATTGTAACCAACGACAAAGGAAAGAAGACATTCTTTGTCTCATTGTGAAGAAAATCTGCGGATGTTGCAAGGCTTCCACCTTAAAGGGTTAAATTCTAAGTACTGCAGTAAATTCCTAAGGAAGGATAGAAGCTAGGTCGGCGGAAGACTAACTGAAATCGAACTACTCAAGAAAACCTCAGATGAGTGGATGACCACTGGTGTGACATCAGGTTGCTGACCGATTGAAATGGAGAGCGGTACATGTTTCTCTGGCTGATTGCATACCGTAAATACTTGATTTATCGCCCTGGTGCTTATTTAAACAATGTAAAGAAAGTATATTTTGATAAAAATAACTTCTTGCTTTTAAAGTCCCAGACCCAACTAAACGCTCCCTTCCGTTTCACGGGTATATTAATTTAGTCGACATGGGACGCTTATTCGAGGAAAAACGGCGTTTAATCAGGAGTGGGGCACTAAATCGGGCATTTACGGTCGGTAGTTTTATAACAATGAAATCGGTATACATAAACATAGCAACTATCGACTGCCGTTCACAATGTCACAGTTGAAGACATGTTACATTTGCAAGCCAAAATCAACAATAAATTCGGATTTATAATTCCAAATAATACATGCATTTTTATGATAATAAAAATCTTTCATCTATTGTTTATTACAAAGAAAGTGATATGAGACAGCCTGCCCCGTGGCTAAGGTATTTACATATTTTTCACAGATTAATGTGATGAACCCAAATAAAAACCAAGATCTTGAATGTTGATTTTCAAAACTGACAGACTCTTTCATGTAGGAGATTGACGTAATATAAAACTGATACTCCAATTTCCCAATCGATTTGGCCCTGTGCCATACTAAGCTAAGTGCCTATAAACAATATTTACATAATATAAATAAGGTTTATCATTACATGTAAGAGATCATGTTCATATTCATTTTAATATCACGCGTCTTTAAAATTATGTGATATGCTAAAATGTGTCTTCTCACCGGCCTTATTCAACCTATACAGCGAGGCGATTCTGACAGAATTACAAGACCTACCATGATTCATTATTGGTGGCTACAATATTAACAACATAATAGATGACATGTTGTTGATAACAGACACAGAAAGGAAACAAGAATTCCTACAGAAGGTAGTGAAGGAAAACGAGGACTAAAAATATTTGCAACAAGACAAAATGCATGGTTGTCAGCAACATACAAACTGGAGACACTTAAATCAAGCAAATACAACAATCTAAATATCCTATCGGGGATGACTTTTAACAGAGGACGGAAAATATGACAAAGAAATCCAAAGACGTATTGGGATAACGAAAATTGCCTTCCAAAAGCTAAGCAAAGTATTAAGAAACAGAAAAAATTCGTTAGAAACAAAGAGAAGAGTATTGAACTGTTACGTAATATCCGTTCTTCTATATGGTAGTGAATGCTGAACAATCTCCTCACAGATGAAAAAGAGACTCGAAGCAACAGAAATGGAGTTCTACAGAGGGGTGCTGAAAATACTAGATACTGAAAATACGAACGACGATTTTTTTGAGAAAATGGAAACAGAAAAAACACTTATACTTAACATCATAAAGCGACATTAGAAATTTCTATGGCACATAATGAGAAAAGAGGACTTGGGAAATTTGAAACTCGCATAAAATATTGAAATCAAGAGAGACAAAGGAAAAGAGCGCATAACCCTTGCCTAACGAGCATGTGTAAGTGGATGACAGAACAAGATTTAGGAGAAATAACAAAAGACGATATTTACTAAGAGCTACATCGGATAGTAAATTGTGAAGAGCCATGATCACCAAAGTCTTGGAGGGACACGGTACATAAAAGAAGAATATTACGTCATGTTATAATTATGTGATATTAAAATAGCAAAGCGGCTAAGTTTTCTATGTTTTATTAATAAATTTTCTTTGAAGTTTGTCATGTCGGTATCCTTACAATACAAAGTCGTTTCTTTCACTGAGCAAGAGATTCACGCAACGAATGCTAAATTCAATAAGAAAGACTCATTGGTATTCACAAAGTATGGCTTACATTTGGCACAAGGTCGCAAGTATGGAGCAAACATTAAGCATTACACATACGACACAGTATTAATAATCATCCAGAATAGCTCGCCAATCATTACCCACGCAGAAGCATCGCTATTACGCGAGGTTTGTTGATAAAAATAGTGTAAAGGAGAAATTTCTATCTGAAGTGTTTTCACTAAAATCTAGAAAAACTTGTAACAGGCAGGAAAAACAAGTTTTAATGGCCTTGCACTTGATGATATGAGTTGCAGTATGTGATCCAGGTCATTGTGTTGTATTGGTAGGTTTCATTAACTGACGTTCGAGAAAGACGTCTGATTTAAACAAAGGAAGAAGTATGTGCTGTATTTTTTTTATGCAGAGCACTTTCTGCTGCATTAAAATTAATTTATAATTAATTATAATTAATTTTGTAAATGATATTAAAAACATTGTAATGTTCAACTAAAAATAATTGTGAAACAAGGTAGGGGTAACCGTCCACGTATTGAGTCATGTAAAACCTTTTGCGTAAAGTGACCAATGGATTAAGTGTTAAGCAGTGAGGAATCCTATTTTGAGATATAGTGTCAGAAGAAAACTAAATGAAAAGTCGTATGGGAAGTTAGATAACCTGCTGAAAAAACTAATTAAAAATAGTTAATTAGTTATAAATCGCCCGGGAATAAATAGAAGGTATGACAGGAGCTACGAGACTTCATTTTTAGATAAATGAGAACATAGTATGAGGCGATTTCCTTTCTATGTTTATTACAATCTTATTAGCAAACAGAACACTTCCACTATTAGCAACCTTTGGCTGAGCGAAATATATGATTTTCAACTAACGACAGGGGTGAAAAGCTTAGATTTGTTTCTCTATTATGCAGAAAGTTTCTAATAAAATAATGCATTTCTTTTATTGAGGGGTATGTCACGTGTAAGAATTTACAGTGATGCTCAATTTTTCATAAAATGTTGGGGGTATCATTTTGATATCATCCTTATCGACTATCAGCATCATTATCGGCTTCGAGTAGGCATTTTCACCAATATTGTAGTCAGCGATGTATAGCAATATACATGTCTGTATTTGCTGGGGTTTTTTTTTGTTTGTTTTTTTTTTAAGAATATCAAGCTGCACGTGTTTAATCTATCATATCATATAGAGACATCGGATTTTAAACTGTCATTTCAGAATCTGAATCGCTATCTCAAAGCAGCTATGCTCCTTCGTGATGTGCGTGTTGTATTATGAGACTGTATATTGAAATTAATCCAATGGGCCTTGAAGCAATGAAAGCAGAGTGATTAAAGAAAAACACTACTTTAAAAAAAATATAGGCGGAGAAAACTGCATGTTTTACCTACACGCAGATTATTTCTTAGACACTTGATGCCTTTAGTTTAGATTCTTACACATTAACTCAGACGTTTAGAAATTTTATGGATACTTAGAAAAACGATACATGTGATAGAGAAGCTAATAACTTCACTGGTTGTCAAATGTTCAAAGTTGACAATTGAAAACTTTGTAAATGCTTCTAATTGCATATAAAGATTTTACCATCGGGACATTTAAGTTAGAGGACTTGTAATAAAAGAAAGGCAGGAATTATTGTCTAGGGACGTTCATAGTTATAACGTTATGTACATTTTCCCTAAGAAACTAAAATAAATGAAGGACTTTTGATATTAGTATCAGAGTTAGACAGCACAAATTAATAGTTTTGAAAAAACCAGTAAATGATATGGAAATGTTTTTGTCATCAATACCAAATAGAAGAATAGTATCCATAGACATAGGATGAACAATCATAGTATACACATTGAACAACATTGAAAGAACTGTTAGTAAAATTCTATCATTCTTCGAAAAGTTTGAAAAGCTTGGAAGACCTCCAATATTTTTGTGAGTTAGCACAGGACAGCGAGTATTAAAGAGAACTGATAAGAGTTGTTTACAAAGTTGTTGAAAATTAGAAATCACACTGATTTGCGGAATGCTTTCAAGTTGAAACAACTCTCAATATGACGATGACAGAAGGCGATAAATTTAACTTTGAAAATGTTTTCTTAGTATCAAGAGAAATACATGATTTCTATTACAGAAATATTCATTTGGTCTTCACATGAAAAAATGTAGGATTTTTGTAAAATGGGTCATTCTTCTTTAATTTAAAAAATACCTTACAAATATTTTCTTGTTATTTTTTGTCAATTTTTTCATTAGAGATCTTTCTTCTTAGACACCAGTTTTGTAATTATGCTATTTAATCTGACAGCAACAAACAAGATGTATTTTATGTCAATTCGATGATGTTTTATAAAACTAATAAACATGGTCATTTAAGAAAATAATTTCTAACCGTTGGTTTCGACCAAAATTGAGCAAAACCCATTGATCGGTATAAGCAATACGAATAAACTAGTAAGATCATGTATCTCTTTAGTGTCTGTAAAATAGCTTCCAATATAGTATTCTGTTTTTGTTATGATAATGGTGAAAAGTTCCAAAATGTTTGCAGAAGGTGAAAAGACTGACTCCGTAAAAGAGCAAAGTGCAAAAATACGAATTACTAAAATGTATTTAAAACTCACATATAAAAATTTCCTAATAACAGTGAAGACAAAAAATATTTTGAAAAC